AGGGTATATAAATTTATTGAAAAAAATCCACCCCTAAGTATGAAAAAAATGTAAATTAATTTTTATATTGGCATTTCATCAACTTCCCTTTTTGAAAATTGTTTCTTGGATTAAAAAACATATACCAAGGTCCCATTCTCACTAAGTCAAGATGACATGGTGTTGTGGTTTTGGAAGCTGAATGTAGGAAGAGTTTTGTTTTTAAATTAATTTTAAATCAAATAAAATATTTATTCTTATAAAAAATGTGAAAAAAATATTCAAAAATATGTTACATTATAATCTAACTAGGTATAATTAATCAATATCCATTGCCATTGATGCCTCTAAAGATCTCGAGCATCCAGGAAGATTCAGGGGCATATCTCTATTAGCGTCTCCATATTCAGTCTCCTCAGGATCTTCAGTGCTTTCATATTGAAATATTTTTTGACTCCACCAACATACTTCCGCAAGCAATGCATCCAGATTTTTTCCCCTTTATCGTTTTTCCATTGGCATGGTTACCTGATGAAAGCGCTCTCCTTGTTCATCCGATTCAGTGAGCAATTGTTGTAAAATTGTTGTTGTTAAAAATTCATCAAGGTGAAAATGGAGGAAATGCAATTTTAATGTCATGGATAAATTAATTTTTTGAAAATAATAAAGCATTTGGCCCACCAATTTCTTCACTTCGTCTCGCTGCACACGATTCTTCCCTAAAACGCCCTCGATTACAGCTTTTAGTGCATCCCAAGCATTCCGGTGATCGTTCTTAAGGATTTTTGTGAACCTATCGTTTGCAGTTAACTTTCTAATATTTGGTCCATTAAGCACACTTGTTAAAAATTTTATTCACAATTAGAATCAAGCGAAGTTGATATAGTTGGGCCGATAGGACATGGCCGATACGTCATCACGGTATTACTCAAGTTCAGACGAATGGCATTTAAAGAATTTAACCTCAATACTACAAGATGAAAAACAAATGCAAATGTCCGAACTTAAGTCATACCGTGATGACGTATCGGCCATGTTCTATCGGCCCAACTATATAAAAATGTTATAATAATTATAATTATTATTTATAAATAACAGTTACCATATTTAATTTTGTTGTTGCTAAGTTTTGGAAATATGGTTTTCAAACAGTCAAACACTTCATCATCATCCTTAACAGCCACTTCGATGAATTTTTTAACAATGCCCAATTTAATGTGAAGCAGTAATATGTCATTCATGTCCTTTATTAAAGGATCATGAACCAATTTTAATTGTGGTTTGTTTTCAGGAGTTCTTCTAACCCAATCCTTACAATGATATTGGTCCACTTTGCTTCGTGAATCCCAATTACAAAGAAAACAAAAGTATTTAGGAAAACCACCCTTTGTTATAATACCTTGTAATATATTGACAACTTTTAAATCACAGCATATTTTCCATTTATGATCATTATAGTTGATTTTCTTTAATATATTGTTCGATGTATCATAAGACTCCTTCATATTTGTACCCAATGCTAAGGGAATAGACGGTTTTTGGTTTGTTTTGTGCAACAGCACAGCTTTCAAACTTGAAACGGTCCCATCAATGAATAAACGCCAATCTCTAGCAACGTACTCCATTCCCAAATTATTCGCCAAAGTTTTGATGTTATTGCAGTAAGTGAATGTATTTGTGGTATCACTGGTATATAATTTCTGAAACTTACTTTGGCGTTTCCTATATGCAGTGATGCTTACATTTGGCTCTGTGAGTTTCCTATGCTTCAAGTATGATGTCAAAAATTCAGAATTTCGCTGTGATAAATTCATCTTAGCCACAATGTAGTCCATTTCTTCTTGTGTAAGCGGTTTTCGTTCTTCGTCTTCGGAATTGTCTATATAATTTGCATCTTGCAAATTGGTTCCATCGGCAAAAACGCTATCGCCTATCAATTGGGACAAAACATTGGGGCTTGGTGCTTTGGGTGGTTCTACATCTTCAAGGAGTGGCAGTGGAAGTGTGCCAGTAAAAGCGGCAACATATTTTTTTAATTTCGATTTTGTCCTGTTAATTCAAGGGGCAAAATTAATACATGCGTAGCACCTGGATGCATCATGACCGTTTGGGTCTTTTATCCAAATCACCGGCTTAGAAAAAGGCATATTACTTCTTCGTCGATGTAACCAATGCATCAGATTGATATAGCAGTTATTGCATACTGTATTTGGCGTAAAATCTTCGACACTCGAATCCGCTTCGTCAAAATATAAAGTGTATGCTTTTTTAAATTCTTCAGTGAAGAAATTTTTTCAATCTTTCTGCTGCAATTTAGGCACTAAATGACCACACACGTAAAAAAATGCATTTAATTTTGGACACTTGCTATTTTCCATAATAACTTGTTCACTTAAAATCACTTATCTGAGCTACAGGGAATTTGTATCGCAAGACGCTAATAGCAACAAAACGTGAATGATTAAAGTATGCTGTTTTTTGGGTTAATTTCTTATGTATTTTTTTTTCTTCTAGTCGATAATAAATATATTTATAGACATTTAACAGGGAAAAATAATTAATAGGTAATACGTTAAAACCTTTCCAAACTTTATGCCGCATTTATAGATTTTATAATATTATGTCTTTTGATGTGTTGAACAGACTTCGGAAAGATTTTAATGTCTCTAATATATAAATAATTATTGTTAATTTTTGCATATAATATATTTTATAAAGTCAGTTCTTTTAGTAAAACTTATTTTCACATTTTACTGTAAATTTTCCTACATTCGGCTTCCAAAACCGCCCCATCATGTCATCTTGAAAATGAGACAACCCATGGAATATACCTTTTAAACCAAGAAACAATTTTCAAAAGGGGAAGTTGATGAAATGCCAATATAAAAATTAATTTCCATTTTTTTTTTCATACTTAGGGGTGTATTTTTTTCAATAAATTTATATACCTACCCTACACATTATTAAAAGAATTGTTGGCGAAGTTATCTCGTATCATAGCTTCAAAACAGACCTATTTGTAGTTTAATCGCCAATTTTTCACCCTTAGGGGTGGTATTTTTTATATAGTTTTTATGGGATCATCCCTAACAAAAACCCTACAAATTAAAAAAAATATATATTAAAATCGGTACATATACACAAGCCTGGGTCAAAATTTTCAAAATGCAATAAAATCCTTATTGGAAACAAAGTATACTTTGTTTCCAATAAGGATTTTATAGCTATGCTATAGCAAAACCCAACTGGGGTTTTGCTACTGTTATAAAGTACTTTGAAGAACACCACTCAAAACGGTGTTTACCTTTTTAGTGTTGCACTGTGTTATTCATAATTATTTGTTTTGATATACAATATTTGTATAAAATACATATTTTGTTTAGTTTTCGTTACAAAAAAATTGTTTTATTTTATTTTCGAAATTTATGCATAAATACATGTATGTTCTAATTTTGTTATTTATTAAAAGTTTTAAAAAACGTTGCTATTTATTTATTTGGTAAAAATATTAAAAAAAACACTTTAGTATGCATATCAGAAATTTCTTTTGTCTTTACAAAAATTAGTTATATTTGATTTTATTTGCGCATTTTATGTATAGTATTTTATAAGTTAGTATATAGTCTTAAAAAAAGTAGTGTTAATTATTTATTTGATAAAAAATATTAAAAAGCACTTTAATAAGCCTATCTGAAAATTGAATCTGTCAGATCACTGCGCCCGAACTCGTGCACAAAAGACGTGCGCCCGCCGGAAGGTTAAGTACTTTTATATAAGAGTACTTGTATTCAGTCCTCGAGTACTTTATCATTGTACTCGGAACAGCTCTGGGCTACCTGAGGTTAATTCTGTCTAAATACGAATAATTTTCCACGTTACCCAGGAGTTGACCTTGTTTGAAATGGCCGATAGCCCTACTTAATCATTATAATAAAAAAAAACAAAGCAAAGAAAATATCAAAGCAATTTTAAACATAAATTCGTTTTTTAAAACTTTAAAATATATTATATCTGAATGTATAACCTTAAAATATTTGTACATGCTAACATTAAGCTACATTAAGAACACGGAAGAGTTTCAATACTTAATAAAATGTTCAAATGTCGCACCCGTTACATTTTGAGAAAATTTTAGAAAATAAAGTATACAATATTTGTGCATTTAAAATACGTGATTGTTTAAGGTTACTATTCAAGTTTCATACAAAAAATTATTACTATTTATTTGCTTTCATTCAAAATTTTACAGTATTAACTTTAGAAGCCAACTTGGTCGCATTTGTCGATTTTCTAAGGTCGCGCCCGTTACGCTATTCATGGCGTTATAAAAGGTTTTCTATACAAGTTTTTATTGACTTTTTGTTTGAGTTAATTACCTAATTTTTTATAATATTTTTTATATTAAGGTATCTTGATATATATGTACAAACACTTCATTATCATGAAAAAACGCAGTTTTAGCGTCGCACCCACAATGGAAACACCCAATTGTTAACAGTGCCGGTTATACCTTAGGCAATTGCCAATCAGAAAGGGAAAGGGAAAAATCTTATTTTTTCATCAATTTATGTAAAAATAGGATTTGTCTGGCAATCCAAAATTATTTACGAATAAAATTTTATTTAATTTGTCGGTTTTGAACATTTGCGTAAATGAGAGACAGCAGTTACTGCTGTCTCTCATTTACGCAAATGTTCAAAACCGACAAATTAAATAAAATACTACTGTAGTGTCATCTATTAGATAAATTAAGTAATTATTAAAAATTGAAAGATTTAAGGAAAAAGTTGTAATACATTTTTCCCATCCCTTTTCATACAAGTATAGGAAGGGATGAAAAAATAGGTAAGAAAAACTATCGAAAGTCATCGATACTTTACAAAAAACTATCGATGTACATCTGTAATTTCCCCCACACTTCTCTCAGGCGAGAAATTTAAACTAGCAATTTCTCAAGGAGTTCGTGGTTAAAATGTTTTCGGTCTGTAAAACACCCCTTATATAAATAGCACTATAGTTACCTGCATAGATGAGTTTTAACCAATTCATCCCATTCAGAAATATCCACACTAAAATTATTCTGCAACTGCCTTAAAAATGAAAGATTTGTACCCAAAGCAAACTCTATTTCTACATCCGAAGGAGTTAACCCTCTTAAAACGATTAAATTTGAAGAAAGGATAGTAATTTCCAAAGGACCATCATGTCTTATTATAACCCCATGAAAAGTATCGCCTTGCTTAGCCCATATAACAGGGGGTGTGTTGTGGTTAAATTTATTGGGGTAAATAACTTTTGATAAGTTGGTACCTTTTTCCAGTTTTATTTGGGTTTCACCTAGGCCGTATAGTGAGTCTTTGGTTAAATATATAGTCCATTCCCAGTATGTTTCGGACATTATTAGAGGCCCTTTGGCAGTGGTAAAAAGTGTTGTATCATTTTTTTTTATTTCAACCATAACAGGGTTATCTGATTTAGTTATATTAAGGTTTCCAAATTTTGGTCCTTCATCTTCTTTTTCAGAACCTCTTTTTAACTTCACCAAAACCCTGTGTTCATCCAGTTCTTTGACAGATAGATCCACACTGGGCAAACTTTTAGTTCCATAGGGAGTATTTGCATACGAAGGTTTATTTTCCTTATTTTTATCAACATTAAAGGAATATTTAGAGGGCAAATAATGAAAACAAACATCCACATCAAAACAACAATTCAACTCTAAACACTTTCTCTGGGTAATGTTAGCTTTACCGCACGTCACTCGGAAAGTCCTGTTTACGACGCACGTGTGCGTTACGGGCACATTATGAACATTTTGATCGATAAGAAAGTAAAACATTAAAACTGGTACCACTGTGGCGAATATTATTAAACATATTAAACCTTTAAATAGTGCACTTTTTAGAAGTTTTTCTTTCCATGTTATTTTAGGTCCTCGTGTTTCATTTAATTCTCTTTCTCGTTCGATAAAATTTGACGCACTGTTTCTTTCGATTGAAACCATTTTAAGGTTAAGGGATTAACTTTTCAACGTTTTTTTCATGGTTTTACAAAATACTGCCAATATGATTTTATTGTTTTAAAATAATCTCTCGATAAGATATTGAAATGGGATTAAATATTTTATCTTGATAAGGGGAAAAACACTTACATTTTATAAATAGGTAGGCGTTTTAAATATCTACCTAATAAATGATTTATTACAATCGAACACTTTTAATTCATTTTAATTTGGTTGAATTGGCCTGTGGTTTTCCGGGATCTGCTCCGTGTTGTCTGTTTTTGGTTCTTAAAAGAACCGTATGTCTGACGACGTTTCGGTACAATCTCATGTACCATCTTCAGGTCTAACTCGCAGCAGAGCAGCAACAGCAGCCCAGCAGATAAGACCTGAAGATGGTACATGAGATTGTACCGAAACGTCGTCGGACATATATATTTTTGGTGCTTAAAAGAACCGTATACGGTTCCTTTAAGAACCAAAAACCGACAACACGGAGAAGACCCTGGAAAACCACCAATTCATATATATTCATATATTCACATTCACAAATTTACTATTAAAGTATGGTCCATGGCAAAGTGAGTACCGTATATGGTCCTCACTTTGTCAGTTTGTGAGTAGGTATATTTTCAAGACATATTTTTCGGTACTTAATAAGTACCGAAAAATATGTCTTGAAAATATACCTAGTGATGCCGCGAGACGAGACGAGACGAGAAAAGTCCTTCTCTCGTCTCGTCTCGTGCAGCGAGAGAAAATGGGTCTCTCGTCTCGTCGAGAATACTCTTTTCTCGCTCGAGAGTGCCTTTCTCTCGTCTCGTCTCGTTTCTCTCGTGGTAAAAGTACCTAAGTATGAATACAAAAATTATTTGGAATGAAATAGGAAATCGTTTATATTCTTTTATATAGAAATTTAAACTGGAAATAAAAAAAAATGTGTGCCAAGACCACACTAATAAAGTAAGACTTTTTACGCCGAAAATGTTGCGCATTTGAATCAAATGGTTGGATCTATGTAGAGTAGTTACATCTAGTATTATACACCTATAATAGGTGTTTTTTTTAACTTGAGACAGCTCAATATCTCGTGAAATACGCATTTCACAGAAAAATGTCTTATATTAAAGGTTAATGTGACCAAAGGGGACATTATTTGGTGCTACCGCTAGCCCCCTCCTTAAGGGTGAAACGGGGGGTAACTTTAGAAAGTCAAATGGAATGACCCGATTTTTTCACAGATTTTGGTAGTACTTAAAAAAATGAATAACTTTTATTTGAAACTTTTTTTTAATTTATCAACAGACGGCGCTGTAATTCAAAATTTAAGAAAATTGGGTTTCCTTGTAAAATGTATTATTTGAAACGTTTGAAAAACAAAAATTAACATTAAACCAACAATAGTCGGCTCTGAAAACAATTTATAACAAATGTTCAAAATGTCATCCTTTCATTTCGACACCTTTTTAAATGAGTTGTAGGAATTGCAGCGTAAACTTTTTCTTTCAAGTAACCCCACAGGAAGAAGTCTGGCAGATCGTTTTCTAGAAAATTCCGGTAATTTTCACCATTTAATGCCGTTCGCCAAAGGTACCGCACCAAACGTTTACCGACCAGGGACGCTGGTGCTCCACTTGGTGTCGAAATGGAAGGACGACATTTCGAACATTTGTTATAAATTGTTTTCAGAGCCGACTATTGTTGATTTAATGTTAATTTTTGTTTTTCAAACGTTTCAAATAATACATTTTACAGGGAAACCCATTTTTCTTAAATTTTTAGTTACAGCGCCATCTGTTTATAAATTGAAAAAAGTTTTAAATAAAAGTTATTCATTTTTTTATGTACTACCAAAATTTGTAAAAAAAGGGTTATCCCATTTGACTCTCCAAAGTTACCCCACGTTTCACCCTTAAGGAGGGGTAGGGGGTGGCTAGCGGTAGCACCAAATAATGTCGCCTTTGGTCACATTAACCTTTTATTTAAAACATTTTTCCGTGAAATGCGTATTTCTCGAGATATTGAGCTGTCTCAAGTTAAAAGAAACAGCCTGTATCGGCGCAGTAGTTTTCAATGGATCAAATCATTTGATCCATCTGAAAACTATTGCGCATATATGATGTAACTACTCCACATAGATCCAACCATCTTGTACCTACTGCGCATGTCCGTCATTTTGAATCTGCAATTTTGTTTTTTTTAATGGATATCAAATTCTGAATCAGGGACCCCATAAATATCTGAATACTAAATTTTACCCAAACCGACAAATTTTCGTTATATTGGATCAGCCATTTTATTAAAAAAAAATGGATATCAAATTTGTAATCAGGCCCTCAAAAACCACATGTTGTTGATAAGTTTATTGAATAAGCAATGCTTATTAAGCATACGGGTTTTTTTTAATAGTATAAGGAGTGCCATAGATGTGCTTATACAGGGTAAATTTTAAAAATTATTATTATTTTATAAGTTATTTTTTCTTGGTTAACGTTAAGTTGTGTTATAAAATAATACAACGTTAACCAGGAACAAATTTTGTGAAATGCGAATAATGTTCTCATTGGTCCAAATAAATATCGTCATTTATGTGCAAAATTATAATTTTTATTAAAAAAAAAATTGTTTTTTATAATCGAGAGAACGAGAGAGATCGAGAGAAACGAGAAATTCTCGAGCGAGAGAGGGCATTCTCTCGTCTCGTCTCGAGCCTTTTTTCGAGAGAAAATCACCCTCTCGTCTCGTCGAGACGAGACGAGACGAGACGAGAGGCGAGAATCTCTCGTATCGGCGGCATCACTTAATGAGTAGAAAGTTGCTTATAAGTACTACTTATAAGCAACTTTCTACTCATTAAGTGAGGACCATAAAATTGACAACTTTAAATGGTCCTCACTAAATGCTAGGAATGATTTGTTGACTATAATTTTAATTTGTCTTTTGTCTGGTTTGATCTTTGCCAGGGTATTGAATATTTTAGTAATCTGGCGGAAAACTGTTTTTACCTTTAACCACTCGAAATGTTTTTCCAAATATTATTTTATTATTATAGATATAAAGTAATTGGCTAGACCACAACGAAACGATTAGGTTATGTCGCAAAGCCGATAATTTTAATGTAAGTAGTTCAGAATTATTAAATTATTAAAAAACGTAGTGTATACAACACGGCTGAGAAAAGCATATTAACTACATATCTACAGCCTCGGCTAGCGCCTCGGCAGCGAACAATGAGCTTTTTCCGCCTGTTAGATAATGTACTCATAATTCTATAACACAATAAATTCTTGAATTATATAATAATAATCTTACACTGAAAGATCAGTTTATTTACAATTAATTATGTTGTTTAACAATAAATAAAGGATTTATTCGATACTTGAATAGATAGCTATACGCGTGTAGCTGTCTATTCAAGTCCTCACTTGGTTCTGATATACCCAAAATTATTTAAATGACAATACAATTCATTATAATTAGAACCAATAAAATGCCAGTATTCCATAGTTACGCATTTTATCACAGCGGCAATATTTTTTATCACCTTGTTTACACGTTGCTAAGGATTTTGATACTTTTCTTAATTTGACATTTGTTGACATTTAAATACTGTGTTTGTTAAATTATTAAAATAATGAATTATAATCTTTAAAAGATCGATGGGTTGGTGTAAACGATAATAAAATTAAGGTAACTTTGAATAAATAAGGTTTATTAAAGTCTTTTTATATTTTAAAGCACATTTTAATTTCAAATGTCAAACTGACAAATTCGTTAAATTCTAAAATTCATTATATTTTCTCACTAAATATAACTCGTGGTATGATTAATTATCGATGATATTTACTCATTAAAACCGAAGCAGAACATTTCACTCGTCCTGCGGACTCGTGAAATCTGCAGCTCGGTTTCAATTCGAAAATATCATCGATGATAATCATACCACTTGTTATATTATGGGTGACAATTTTACGTGTATATTCGTCACCCACCTGTTGCTAATTTAATATTAAGCGTAACTTAATATTAATTAAATGGAGGTGTGACTGAGTACACGTTATTCTTTGAATTAAAAAGGATTTTTCTTTTTTGTATGATCGTGTATTGTGAAAAGTTTTGATTTGCAGAGCGCTTTCGGCCTTAAGCCATCTTCAGTGCTTCAACTGATAAGTAAAACAGGAATTAGATTAAATAACATTGAATTTTTAATAAAAACTTACTTGTCAGTTGACAGGAGTTGGCAGGAATATTAATTGTGTTTTTATTTTGACTCCTTCTACGGGTCCTCATAATGTACGTGATGCAATATTTGCAAATGCCATTTTTTCCTATTGGGCAACTTGGTGAAAAAGCCCAAGAGTCCCGCAATAGAATTATTAAACAATCTAAAAAATTGTCAGTAATATGGAAGATATTTTTCGTAATCGTTTAGTTTCATTCGATCCCCTAATCTCCAGTATGAGAAAATTTAATCCTAAAACGTTGAAAAATATACACTTGAAGTAGTTTTTTGATAAATCTAATACTCTCAAAAATATTCTTGAGCTACCTAGGCATTATATTGCACCATCATGATCAGTTAGTAACTGATCATGATGGTGCAACATTATATGGCCTTTTATTTGTCATTTGTCATTTGAAAACGTTTTTTTATTTGATTTCACGTAAACTTTTGACCACCCTGTATGCATATACATACAGGGTGGTCCAGGATTAATCTGAAAAATTTTAATGATCGAAAGAGCCTGAAAAAACAATAAAAACAAACCCAAAAACATTTTTTTTAAATACACACTAACACACTAATAGCCCTTCAAAGGCAAAAAAAACGTTTTTTTTAAATAACTTCTGCTCAAATTTTGTGTACCTGGGTAAAATTTCTTACAAAAGGCCCAGCGGCGGATATTTTGTGGGGGTTTCCCCTTTTTACCCCCATATTTAGACACCACTGGATTTTATTGGAAAATCATCAGATTTCTTATTCAATTTAGAAGCAAAACTTGTGTGTTAAATTTTCATAAGATCAGTGGTTTCGGAGACTAAAATTTCAAAAATACCGAGTACACGGAATTTTATCATATTTTATTTTAAATCGGTAACTTGGTAACAATTATGCCACGTTATCAGTTTATAAAATATTATAAAAATAAACTAGCGTCCAGGAGTTATCGTGCAGTTGTTACTGATCCCGTCATATTTTTAGGTTGTTTTATTGTAACGTTGATTGAGGATTACAATCAACGTCTGTAATTAATAATTTAATTGTATTATAATACAAAATCAAACCAACCCAAAAACCACCCTATTGAAAGTG